AATGTATCTACTTGTATCTTAACTATAATATCATGTAATGGAATAAATCTGTTAAAAAATAGAGCTTCACATTTACAAACACAATATATATAAAGAAGAGAAGAGAGAAAAGAGGTAGGCACCAAAACATGGGATTTCTGTCCCATTCTGAATTCTGGCTGTTGGGAGTCAGGATCATCTGTTTCTTCTAGGATTTTCTGAAACTGAGTTGCCACCACTTTCTCAACAGTCACAAAGAAAGGTTGGAGATCAAATGGATATTTTCAAAACCAGCTGGATCTAGGGAAGGGGTCTTTAAGATAGGTCACACGCACTCCCACCCACCCTTAAAACAGACAGCATTATTCCTTCACTGAAAGAAGTGTTGATAATTTCCCTCATCCAGTCACGGAGGTGACGTGTCTGTGTGTGTTAGATTAGAATGCAGAAACTTCATTTTTACTCTTTCCCATTCAATGGAAAAATTTATGTAATGGGTGTTAGGACTCTGTCTATCACCACAATAAGTCTCCTAAAACTGAAACAAGTGAGACCAATTTTGACAGGGGGCAAGAAGCTAGAAAAAGAAAGATTGAGCTAAAAATGGGATCAATCCAGTTGTTTCCTAGGAAGAACTCCTCCCCCCCCCCACATCTCCCAAAGCATTCCTATGGGTGAGAAAATAGGGCAGCTGCTCAGACTCCTCCATCTTATGCCCCACCCCTTCCTTTTCCTGTTCATATGCCCATACCACAGCTATTTTTAAGAGTTGGGAAGAATGCTAGAAGCCATGCTCTGCATGCTTTCTCTAATTCGTTTTGGAAATTAACCTTTAAGGATGCATATGATCAGGCTTTAGGTACATAACCTGCCAAGTTCAGTACTTTTAAGGCTTTTTTAAAGCTTCTAGATGCAGGAACTTCTGTGGGGACTTCTACTGATGGTTTAGAGAGATCTGGAAGCCATGTCCAGCTTGCCTGCCTCATCATACAACATTGGCTTGTTTAGAATGCTAATGTGGCGTTGCTAGCCCTGGGCCAGCTTATTTCACATCAAAGGAGAGGTTTTCTGCAAAGCTGAACCTGAAATGAGCTTGTGAGCTGTTTGTGTTCTCATAGGCTGAAACTTCTCTCTGCAACCCAGCTCCTGGGCTTGTGGCTCTTAACTCTTTCTTTGTCACAGAAGCTCAGCATCCCATTCCTGAAGTTTGCACTGATCTCCTTCCCAAGTTCAACTGCCCACAACCATGGTTAGAACTACTGGGGAAAGTACCCATTTGTAAAACTGCTGTAAAGTTGTTGTTTTACCCTCAGGGGCTTTTTAGAGCAGCTAAGGAATTGTGAAAAGCACAGTGCTTCATTTAACATCACATAATTTCCCATCCCAGCGTAATGTATGAGGGCAGAACATGTTAGCATTTTTTAAAATTGCTTTTTGGTATGAACTGAAACTGGGGAGAGTTTTGCTATCCCAGAATCCTCACTAGCTCAAGGTACAAAGCTTTGACTAGATGGTTTTTAGTCTCTTTTTGGTCAGCTTGAGGAACCCTAACTGGCTTGTGTTCCCTCAGCACTCCAGGTTGACCAGGACTGAAGGCAACTGCACAGTCAGCTTCAACATGGAAATAGAGGAGGGACAGTTGAGTAGAAACTGTGCAAAGTGGAAGCGCCTTATGATCAGGAATTGTCATTAGGGATAGAAATACAACATGCTGTATTCTAAAATTCTACTACCATTGTATCTGAATAGACTAGCTGGACTTCATTTATAAAAGACACGTTTACTGAAAATGCATTAGGTGTGTCAACCACAGACTTGCCTTCACTTTCACATTCCGTACCAAAGAGCCATAGCTACATCAGATTCATGGCCAATTACTATGTTAATAGTATGCCATCTGGAGTTAGTAAAATTTACATTTTCAAGATTTCTTGCTGAGTCTTCTACTATGAAGGTACAGAGGGTTTTTTTGTTTTTAAAAATTTCTCACTCAATGTTTTCTATCAATAATCTATAGAAGGCTGAGATAAGGATGTATCCCCATGGCCACATTGCCTTTAACAAGCACTTCTGTATTTATTGTGTTTGCACAATGACTTATCTGATCCAGGTAATTTTGTTATGACAAGAACTGGGTGGAAACCAATACAACTCATTCAGTTCTGCAGATTGATCTCTCCTCTGGTCCAATAAACAAAAATCCTTTAAAAAACTCAGATATCTAACCCACAAAATACATTAAGAAGCTGCCTTATTCTGAGTCAGGCCACTGATCCATCAACTCCAGTATTTTCAGCACTCACTGGCACGTATTCTCTGAATTTATAGCCAGATTCTATCTGAGTCCTGTCGAGGATGGCATCTGCGACTTTCTGCATGTGATATGCTCTCTCTGTCACTGCTCCGCTGTCTTTTTTCTATATCCTGTTGATCCTTTTGTGGACCTTAAGGTGAATTAAAGGCCAATGTAAAGATGGAGCAAATATGTTCTGCTTTAGCATGTGGACCTCTGAGATACTAAGCTAAGGAGTGGTGCGAGGACCATCCAAAGTCACCAACAGGGCTTCACAAATGCATAGGGGCAAGCCACTGTGATCTTGATTGCAAAGCAACTGATCTTAAGAGCTACTGATGGCAAATCCTCCAAATTATAGCTACAGAGTCAGGCATTCACGGCCAACTATATAATATAAATTAAAATCAAGTGATTTAGTACTTGGATTGGCTGCTGAGGTTTCCTGCAGGTGCCAACATATTCTTTCACACCTGCCTATTGTTTGGCTGAAAATTGCCAGTTTTTTCATGCTCTAGAACACTTCTTAATAGCCATTGAACCACCTTGGGTTTACTCCATGACCTTTACTAATAATATTAGACATATTGTTATTCACAATAGAGGCACTGTAATATTTTTTCAAAAGCTACTCATTTATATGAGAAAGCAAGTGTTAATCGGTTCATTGGGTTTTAACTTTACAGGGAACATTTTTTTTCAAATTAAATTGTAAATAGTACATGTGCCATGTGCCAGTGACTAAGTTTTTAGTTAAATAAGCTAGTGTTCCAGTGGCTTTATCTGGCTAGTAAAATGTGTGAATAAATATAGAAGAATTTATCAGAAGAATTGTTTGACGTACCCATTCCAGTAAAACTGAAACCTTTCTACCACTGTATTTCTGCAACACTGGCAATATGTGCTGGTGACATTGTGTTAGATTAGTTGCTCTTACTTTCAGTCGGTGCTTTACAGAAAACACATTTTTGGCCCAAGCCATTGCAAACTTCTTTTTTAAGTAAGCAAAATATTTTGGACATGGAAAATATTATAATAAATAAAAAGCTTTCACATATTGTGAGGCAAATAGGGTTCTGTTTAACTGCGCATTCCTCTCTTGTGAAACAAACTTTCTATATACTAAAGTCAGACGCCTCTAACCTGAGCCTACTTTACCGTCCCCCAGAGTAACAGGACATGTGATCTTGATACAGGTAGTCCTTGTTTAGTGACTGCCTTGTTTAGCAACCTTTTGCAGTTATGACGGTGATGCAAAAGTAACTTTGCAACAATCCTCACATTTACGACCTTTGCAGGTCTGTAAAGAAAAGGAAAGCTGAAGTCAGATCATAGGGACAGTTGTGGTTTCACTTAGTGATCGCTTTGCTTAACAACTGAGTTGCTGGTCCCCATTGTGGTTGCTAAACAAGGGCTACCTGTATTCATAGGATGGAAGCCAAAGATTTCATGACAGCAGAATTCCAAATTGTATCTGTCAGATTAAGCCTTTATGCTTTAACATCAAACATAAAAGTCAGAATCCATACAAATGAGCTTTTAGGGTGCACAAGATCTAAAGAAGATTAGAAAATACATCTGGGGCAACTTATAATAAAGAACATATTTAGGAAGCAAAAACACCTCCCTCCCAATTACCCCAAAAGCCATTAAGTATGGCAAAAAGGAGCATTAATAGGGGGAGCTTGAGCTGTAGCACAAGAAAAATATTCCTTTGATTACAGACAACTCTTGGTTGCTAGTTGCTTTAAGCATTTCCTAAAAATGGAAAATTGGAAAAGAAATGGAATAAGTAAATATCTTACATACCGTAACCCTAACTCTTTTCATAGTCATCCTTTACCTGGCCTTCATCAGTAAAAAATAAAGGTAGATCAAGAATATTTCTGACAGTGCTGGAGAACATAATGTGAGTTGTATCATACTCTTTCAGCCCAATCTACCTCACAGGATTGTTGTTCTAGTGAAAAATTGGAGGGAACACTATGTATGCTGCCTTGTGCTCCCATAAAAAAGGAAGGATATAAATCTAACATACAATAACTCAACTACCTCCATGCACAGAAGAATTCAGAAAAAGGTCTTACCCTTTTGTTTTCTTCTGATATGAAGCAAGCCTGCACCAACTCTACTTGCTAAAAGATACAAGTAGAGGGCTGCCAGAAGTGACAAATGGGAAGTTTTGTTTTCCTCTACTGGGTGTCCTGTTTGCTCTTAAATAATGGACTTCTCACAACCTAATTTTGCTTTCAAAATTATTCCTATAGAAGTCTGTGGGGCACATTTATTTATTTATATAATTTATACAGGTGCCCATTTCACAACAGTGACTCTGGGTGGTGTACAAAGATTAAAATAAGTTACAAGCATTCATGCAGAGGAGTGCAACCTTAAGGTACAAATTTTGAATTTGCAAGTCCTAAAATCTCATTGGTATAAAATAACCTCTCAGGTTTGAATAACTGAGTAAAATTTAAAATAAAAGATTGCAAATAAATTTACAAAATGCATTTATTAAAGAAGCAGACATAAAGGTAAGTATATAAGCTTCCTGTATCTAATTGAAGACTGAGGTTTTATTCGGTGTACGTTGAAAGCAAGTTGTTCAGTTTCACTTTCAGATGTTCTAATAATCCACTTCACAAATCACTAAATGCATTTATTAAAGAAGCAGACATAAAGGTAAGTATATAAGCTTCCTGTATCTAATTGAAGACTGAGGTTTTATTCGGTGTACGTTGAAAGCAAGTTGTTCAGTTTCACTTTCAGATGTTCTAATAATCCACTTCACAAATCACTTATAATAGCAGTGCAATTCACTTAACTGTGATATGGTATAGAAATTCAGAAACAGTAACTATAAAAATAGTTCCTCTTTCCTATGTGTTTACAAGACAAATAGCCTTCTTTAGAATGAAGATTTATAATAAATGTACCCCAAATACAGCAGTTTCTAAAAGCACGTCATCAAAGGTTCTGCATTTTCTTTTAGCTCTTAGTCTGTCCCAAATCAATCTGTTTTACAGCAGCAATTTTACTTGCTGCAATTACTACAATATTAAGCTGTGAAAAATTTAAAAAAAAATTGTTCCTTTAGCAAAATTCTAGTAAATTTTGTAGGCTCAGAGAACATCCAAAATAATTGAAGATCCGGGTATTATTGTATTACAATAGGTTTATGCTACTGTTTTCTGGGGGGGGGGGTTCCCCCTCTCCCTTCTCTTCTTTCCCTCTCCCTTTTTTCTTTCTCTCCTTCATTTCAAAGCCTACCTTCAAGGTTTCTGTGCTGACTATCCAAACAGAAGATGAATGAATAAGATTTTCTCCCAGGTAGATGTGTGAAAGCTGAATTTTGGGTGGAAAGCTATTTTAAGTATTAGAGATCTGCAGAAGCAATTTCATGGAGACACCAGATAAGGATACTTCGCATTGTGTGATCCATTCAGTGTAAAATATTACACTAAATATGAGGAAGATTCTTATCAAGGAACACGTTCACCTTTTCCCCTGAAATGGCAAAAACAGTGCAGAATCTCTTCACCACTTTTAATCAGGTTTTCCAGAGCTTATTCAGAAACACATAAACAACTCAGAATCCTTCTTTTCACAAACAACCAGCACTCATATTGCACTCTTATTCTCTACAAAACTAGGCCTCTGCATCAAAATGATGATTCCGCAGTCCCAGAATGAAAATACATATTTATATAATGAATGTATACAATTGCCTGAATTATTCTCTTACACTGATGAAAGTGTTCTACCTTTTTAAAAGCAAGTGATATCAGTTGTGGAACTGGGAGGTAGGGGAAAAAGTAAATCCAACTATAAAATCACTAGTGAATTTTCTGTCCTCTTGAAATGATGCAAATGGTTTGAAATAGCAACAGAAATCTGATAAGAAGTTCTCAGAGGCTTGATAATCTGAGTATCAGCTGCTTGTAGTTATGTTTGGTTACATGTTTCACCTCCAACACTTCATGGATCGGTATATTTGTAGAAGCTTCTAGCTAGAATCCCAAGAGAAAATAAGAGTGCATTTGATGAATGACATGACATCACATTTGCAACCCACTTGTCATCCTTCAGTCCTCTTGTACCACCACTATTAGATTAGGCTGAGAATAAAGCCAGGCCCATGGTCATTCAGTCAATTGCACAGCTAAATAAGGACCAGACTTTTGGTCTTCCCACAGCCATTTAATAGTGGCTGGACCTTCACACTGTACTAACTCATGGTTTGTTTAACCTGCTTAACAGGATAAGCCACAATGGGTGGGTTTACACAGCATTTTAAGCTCAAACCAAGCAAACTGTATGACTTAGTACAATGAATGAACCCACCTGTCTGTATATGTACTAAACACTCCTTTGGACTACTTGACATACCAGGAGAAGGTAGGAAGGAGGGGCCAGTTTTTCAGTGAAGATGCACACCAACAAAGACGTGTGTGTGCACATACTCACTGAAGAACGGAGGAACAATCCATAACTAAGTATAGGTTGAAAAAATTAAAATAATTATTTTCTAGTCTATACTGTTTAGCTATAAACCTCTAAATACTCACTTAAAAGGATTTTGTGGTGGCCAGGGAAGCCAGCCCTTGAAAAAATAATTCACTGAATAACAAAACTTACATGTGGTCAAATTGAAATGTTCAGTCATAGAATGCTCGGTAGTTTAAAAAGTCAGACTTGATTTTGAAGTTATAAATCCCAGCCTTGCGTTGATATCGGCAGACCAAAAGTCCTGCTACTCCCAGTACGAGAACAAGTACACCAACGACAATGAGGACGGTATAGCCCACTCCCAAACCAGATTTACTCTCTTCCTTTAAATCAGCTGAAGCAAAAGAAATTGAGAAAATTACCATTTGAAACCTGGTATTAATTGAATGCTATTATATAAAACTTGATCAGATCACTCTAATACTATCTCACTTAGGAGTGCAATTATATGCATGAAAATAAAACCATTAAATTCAAAGGATTTACTGTAATGTGTACACTGTTTAGGTAACTGTAGTTACTGGTAATTTATACTGATAAATAACACAGAAGGAATTGCAGCCTTAATAAACTATCTCATTTTGTAGAAATAATCTATTTTTCTTCTTGTTATGGTTGGTGGTGCTGTATTTCCCAAGCTGTAAAAAACCCAAACAATTACAAGATATATTATGTTTTATATCAAGTTAGACTAGCTATAAATAACCCAGGATAGTTTATTCTGATTGACAAGAATCCCCCTAGACCTTAGGTAAAATGAGATTTATTTATTTATTATTTGTTTTATTCAAACACCCAAGACATCAGAGATTGCCCATGTGATGATCTGCAGGAACCTCATCTTCATTGCTAGAGTGATTCCAGTTTTTCTTCTTTATGCATCCTGTAGTTTAAAACAGCTGCTGCTACTGCTGCAAAGAGAGCTAAAATGGACAGAGCCTCCCAACAGAAATAAAAGGGACAGGAAACACTTGTCCTGAAGTTGAAGGAAGTGATTTTTCCAAGTATCCAGAACTGCAGTGACCCCTTAATGGATGACAGGTAGCATCAGGAGAGCCTGGATTAGTGGTGGATGACTGGAAGTAAAATATTCCTTGGATACGATTACCTCCCTGTATGATGTTGAAGACACCACATTTTGCTGTATTTCCACATATGGTTATTGTTGAGGCTGTACTCAGTTCTGCCTCAGTTTCAGGTGGCAGAAAAACGGGAGAGCATTCATGAAATGACAGTGTAGCACACTGGGCAACTTAACAGCATTCTAGCTATGAATGTTATTAGGGGGCTCTCATGCAGAGAGCTTGGGCAAGGAGAAAGCAATGTCACTGCTTTATTGGTATCACACCCCACTTGCTATGGTGTGAGTCCACTTGGGATTGGGGAAGAAATTCATTTAGTTCACATCTGAACGAACATTTACTGTAGTTTCAGATTTTTAGCCAACACATGAAATGAAATAGTAAGCATTTGAAATTTGTAGTTTAAATTTTGCAGTGCAGTTCATCAGTAAGAACAGCCATAAATATTAGGGAGAAATCTGGACTAAAAGATTTCATACATAAAAAATTATGTTTAAAAAAATCAATATGGGGAAATCATTTGGGAAAGCTGCATATAAGCAAATCAAAAAGAAAATGCATGCTTCTGAGAAATGTGCAAGATATTTAACCATTTTAATGGATAATAATAATTAGAATAATTAGAATATTTATTTAATTAATAATAATGAGAATAATGACTATGTTCAACAAACCAAATACAACACATTTATGGAAATGAAAACAAACCAAACCACCTAAACCCCAAACTTAATGTATTCACAAAAATGAAGTATTAAGAACTAAACTTGAATGATTTGGTCATTCCTATGCTGAGCTTTGAAGCAGAAAGGTCCTGACTTCTCTTGGTTGGTTCCAGGTGTGGTCCCACTCACAGGGTGTCTACTTTCAAACATTCTGACTGATTACTCACCAGAGAATTTGCGAAGAGGGCCCCAAGATGTCCTGGGCGTTGCAATAGTTTCACCCGATCTCTGATAACGGAAACCCTGGCAACTCTGCAAGAATGAAGCATGAAATATTTATTTTCAGATTATATGCACTATGCATTATCACCACTCTATCTGAATAATAAACCTCTTAGAATTTTAAAAAACAAAACATGGTTGCCATATAGTCAGATCACATATATAAGCCATGTTATTAAAGGGCAGGCATAACTGAGAAGTTCCAGTTAAACAGAATTTGGGGAACTGGTGCTGCATAAGATGCATTAACTCCAGCTTTGAGATGGCTCACGTGTCCAATCCTATGGTTGCTAACATCAGAAGGAATAATGTTCTTGATTGTTTTCCAACCACAGATCTCTTTGGAGACACAAAGACTTGGGATACTACCAAAAAAATGATAATTTTTCTATAGCTACTATATATTTCCATAGAAGTCAGCAAGTACTAGAAACTAGTAGAGCCCTCTATTTGCTTTGGACTCAGAATTCAAAGTCTTTATAATATTTTTTAGCATTTTAAGCTTTTATACATAAGAGGGTTTGTTGCTGAGCAGGAGTTCTATGTTCTGTGTTCAGAGATGAAAGTATGATACACAATAAGATCATTTAAAGATGTTGATATAGATAAGCATCAAAACAGAAATAAAAGCAAACAGCATATACTGTACAACAGTTAATGTCCTTTTTGCTATCTACTGCATTGCCAGTTTTTGCTGAAGAAAGTTACAGATTAATTCTATCTATTTCCTCTGTACTCGTTTTGTTTTAAGCAGCAGCATATTCTGGAAACAGATACCACAGATAGTTCTCGTATTTTTATAATCAGTGTGTTTTCCAGTTGAGCAAGGCTCCTTACCATTCTGCAAGTGCTTCTAGGAACTTCAACACAAACATGGATTTTGCAATGTAAGAAAACCACTGAATTATTGACAAATGAAAAGATTTTCAGTTGAAACCGGGCTCGGTTGGATATCCCATTTGAAATCATGGTTGTGTGCGTGTTTGGAACCGGACAGCTGAAAAAGAAAGGCCAATTAGATACTTGGAGAGGCATAGAATTTGATCTATATGAACCTGTATTTCTATTTATAATCAGAAAAAAATATGGTAATTTTCCAAAATGAGAGAACAAAGAGTAATGCATTTGCAGCTATTAAATGGCTAATAATTCTAATAGTGATAATAAAATATTCCACTAATCTGTAAATCTCTTCTGTTTTATAGAGGTTTGATAGAGGGATCTTCTAATACAATCTAGGACAGATATGCACCAACAAGTGGGTTATATAAATGTTAATAAATAAATAAATAAATAAATAATAGTGCCATAACATGCTTTGAGCACTCTCCATAATGTATATGATTGCCCACTGGAGACTGAAGCCATTATCTGTCCTCTCCTTCCAACCACAGGAGGAAGTATCCAACAACCAGCTTCCCAAGTTGAGGTGCTTCAGCTCAGGGACTCAGCCATTGGCCACATTTCATCTGTTTCTTCAAGGTACTCTCCTCCTCCAACACATACAGAAAACTCCCTCGCTGCTCCCTCTGCCAACTCCCCACAACAGTGAGGCTTGTAAAAGAGAAGCTAGCCACTGGTATAACATACACCTGCATTTGATTCACTGAGAGTCTGCAGTCACATATATTTCAGAAAGAGGAACAGTTTTGCTCATCCCTGTTCAGTTAATACCTGCCTTGGCCCTAGTTCTTTATATCTTCAATCTGATTGCTAAAATTAACTATATGGAATAATGGAACAGCTCAAAGCACTAAAACCAGAAACCAAATATTCAGAATGTACTTTATTTTGGAGTGTTCCACCATTTTATATATATTATCTCAATAGTTTTCATAACCAAGTAGGTAAATATAATTAATACAAACACACTCAGCATGTAATAGGCTGAGACCAAGAGATAATGGCTTGGATCATCTAAGTTGAAATGTCACCATTACAAACAAAGGAGTAGAATTACATTGTTGGTGTTTCAAATTTAAGAATTACAAAAACTGATACCTTTATATATAATGTATATTTGTATTTATTATTAACATTGTTTGTATATAACCTCTTAATGCATTATATATACTGTACCTGCCATGTATAAAAGGAAATGACTCGGGATCCAGTGAGTTATTAGTTGGAGTTGCCCAACATTCACCAACAACCACCTTGAGTTTCCTGTCTCTTGTATGAATTCCCACTTCAATCATTACATCATCACTAGCAGAGATGCTGAAATTTTGGGGAATTGGAGAATTTCCAATGAACAATCGCATTTCTGTTAAGAAGTGTCCAGATCCATGTAAATCCTCAAAAATGGTATAAACCCTAAAAGACAATGAGCCATTGTTAACATTGGTAGACTAGTTTTATTAATTATGTCCTGTGTATGCATAGTAACAGCATTATTTTTAGACACTATGGAAGAATTAAGTAGTTCCTTGTTCTGTTTTCAGCCAAGGGAATGGGAAGGATACCACTCTTAACTTGTGCAATGTCTAGAAAAAATTGAAGACGGTGCATAGATATTAATACAGTGTGAATGATTAAAATCAAAGAGAGAAGATCCTTAGAACTCATTCACTCTATCTGCATCAACAAATTTAAAAATTCTTTTGATTTTAAAAATTTTATTTAACATGACTCTATTAGGATTGTTTTCCATCTTTGACTCCTTTCTATAGGGAAATTTCTCAGAATGACATAATTTGGCCACAGATATTTATAAAACCATAAACATTTCATATATATAAAGTAAGTTTATTCTGGCCTTATAAGTACAGTAGTTGGAAACATAACCCTAACCCTGCAATTTCTCCCAATTGCTACTTCCAGACACTGAATGTAAGTAGTGCTTGAAAAGATATTAAATTTTGTAGTTGGGTTACCTGTATTCTGATACAATATCTAAAAGGAAAGTCAGTTCTGAATATTCTCCTCTCTTTTTGTTGAAAATATCCTTTGAACTGTATATTTTGAACTTCTGCAACAATTCTCCAATGTCTAACTAAAATAATGTAACTGATTCTTATTTCCTAAGAAGTTATTTACCCTTCTGGAGTATATCCAGATGAAGTTAAGAGATCATTCTGAAAGACACAGTGAATTTGACTTGAAATTTTTAAGTAGCGGATAATCCCATGAGAAGACCGATCATTCCGAAGAACAGTTTTTACAATAGTGTGTGTGGTATTCTGAAAAAGAAACACAACAGAGAAAGTTATATTAATTTACCTTTTCTTAGTTTAAAAGATAGCATAGAAGACTCATACAATTTTGGATGCAACTTCATATATGTCCATCACAACAAAGCAGAGGAAAAAGAAGCAAAAAGTAGTTAGCAAAAGAAAAAGGTATGAAATAAAAGGAAAACGAAATCTTGTTTACACCAATATCATACACTATATCTCTCCATGACTTTTTGTCCTTGCAAATTATTCTTCATAATTTCCAATTCATTCCTTGCACTAGACCACATACTAACCATACCTTTCTACCAGCATTTGCACACATTAAAATTTCTCTATTCATTCTCCCATCTTCAGCAAACCTTATATTGAAGTACACATATTTACCCAATTGCTTTAATTCTTCTCCATTTATGTATAATTTGTAAACATTAACACCATTCTCTTTGCTGAACACAACTGTCTTAGTTACATTAGTGTTTGGAGCAATATTCCTTGTTGCATTGTAGAATTGATCTACCATTCACTGGAACTCATTCAGATTCTTAGGCAACAACAAGGTATCATTTGTATACAGATTTTATATATTTATCTATAAATAAATTAGAGGACCAAAGGGATATTACATCTTCTTGTCTTACTCCCTGGTCATTGTTGACCATTTGCTAACCATTCCATTTGTTCTTTCATATGCTTTACTTCTATCATACCTGTATATTGCAACCAATCTTCAACTCCAGTTTGTGAAAAAACATTCTTTAACTTAATGTTATTTACATTTTTAACATATGCTTCCTCTAAGTCAACAAATCTCTTTCTCACTTTCACACATTTCTCAATGACCTACTGTGGAAATTACATCAAGAGACAATAATTTTCAGGCTAGAGATAAGTCAACAACTGTTCAGCTTCAGGGCCATGAAATGTTAAGCAAAGTGTCCACCGGAAGATGAGAAGGCACAGGAAAAAACAGCTCGTTTTAAACTGCCATGAATATAACAGGGAATTGCACTCACATAGACATACGACAACTCACTGTTTAATATGGATTATACCTGTAGTAAAAATTCTTATCTAACCATGCCTACGTCATATTTGAAAGCCTTAAGCTGAAATCAAGCCTAACAAAGCCAAGTGTCGAGGAGTGGCTGGTCAGTGAGTCTGATACCTGCTGAAAAGCAAAAATCTGATCTGTAGCTCCCTTTCCTGAGGTAAAGCTCCAACACTCTTCCCAAATATTCTTCATATCCTTCCAATCAGAATTCTGCCACCCTCCCAGGCATACTTAACCAGCTTGCTCCCTTGAAGTTTTGCTTTCACTCTAGCTATCATTTCCTTCATATAAGGAAATAATAATGGCATTTATTCTAGTCACCAGGCATAGATTCAGTCTCCGCAGAAACAAGTCCCACAGCAATTTCTATAAGCAAAGCACATATATATATATATAGTATTTTAACATTTGTCAGATGATACTACCTATACCTTACCGTTCAGTTTTACAATTTTGCAACATTCTCACAGCATTTATCACTTCCTTCTCATCTTTTTTTCTTTCTTTTTTTTTTGGACACTGATGTTACCACATCAGTTTCAATTCAATATCACTATTATTCCAATATAGTTTCTTCACAATTTATTTTATCACTTTTATTCTTAATTCCACTCATGTTGTTGTAGCCTCCTTGTTTACCCACTCCTAAAACAATTTTTTATTTCCATCAAAATTGCCCTGTTTTTTCTCACTGTTCTAATCTTAACAGTCCCTTGCTCTCTTTGACTACATTCTTTGCAATTATCTTTTTTTCTACATATACATTATACAGTATTTTTATCTAATCTTTATTCTTTGCAATAATCATTATCTTATATGTGCTTTTTCTTATCTTCAGCCTCTTTTACTTCATTATTCTACCAAGCATTCTTTTTCATGCTTCCCATCAGCATAACTGCACATAATTCTGTAGCCTTTTGTAAGATAATTATTTTCATTTTTCTTCCAAAAAGCTTCTGGGTTCTGTTGGATGATATAAATGGATGGGTGGGAAGGAGATACAGGAATACAGAAAACGTGATTGGGCCATTCAGAAACTCAAGAATGAATATGATTGGTTAGTGAGTATGTGCTCTTAAAAGATCTGTTTATTTTGCATTCATGGTTGAAACATAAGTCTATTTAAGCTAACACATGACAAAGAAAGAAATCTAAAAGCAAGATAAATAATGGGCCTTTAAGAATAATTCCCCTGAGTTGCCCCAAGCTAAATTTTTAAGATCTGTACTTGCAGCACCCAGGGAGTTTACAAATGCCCTCCTCAGGGAAGCCTAAAACTGAGGTTAGAACATGGAGGTTGATGTTAACCTACTGGATGAAGGTCCAGTTCTTCCCCTTGGGACTACTCCCATTAATAACTGATGATTACCCCTTAAACTGGAATGTCCTAAAACAAAAACAAATGACTTGTGGGTTATCATCAGAGTTTCTACAAACCTTAGGCTATGACCATGCGAAACACACACTTCTCCAAAGATTTAACATCAAATTTCAGGCAGAAGTAAATAGCTTGTCATAGGATTTGGGTGACAAGGGGCTTTTGGAAAATGGCCAATTATCTCTCCTTACTGATATTCCCCAAAGGAAACCTTTCTTCTGGGCAAGGCATAATATTTTGCCTTCAGCATTACTACAGGGAAGATTTTCTAAAATCCCATTTGAGAAATGTGTTTGCCCATGTGGAATTGGAGATGTTCAAACAGTTCAACAAGTGTTACTTGATTGTACCACCTAAAGGGATATTTGTAATGCCTATATTCTGCTTCTTTTACATCAGTACCCTGGGAGTTCTGACAATACTTATATCTATCCTTTTTTTCAGATTGTAAATCGTATATAACTCAGACCATAGCAAAATACCATGGAGCAGCCATGAAAATCAGGCACCAATTACTGACAGGCCTCCCACAGTTTTAATCTACTTTTATATCAAGAATTACAATTGCCAGTATTACTCTATTTTTCAGTTGTACCCTTTATCTCTGGCCTTTGGTTGTAATAAAGATTCAATCATTCATTCAAATAATCAAAATAATCAAGAAATATGAAATCTTTTCTATAACAGGAAGGGCTGAAAATATGTAAGGCTATGAAAAAGAGTGAAATATAGAAATCTGGTTCAAGGGTGAGATATAAGGCCAATAAACAGCAAATAAGAATTACTGTACAAAATCAGGAGTGGTTTGAAGAAAAAAAAAAACATTGAGTGATTATTGATTCACCTGTGGTATGATTCCTATTTAGGGACCCCTAGTTGTAATGCAACCACCAATATGCAGAAGTCAAAATTCTTAATATCCTAATCAAAATGTTGGTTAGCTCTTAGTTTGTTTAAAGCTTTATATTGCATCTGTCAGCAGTTACAGTGCATATGGCTCTGATTAGGAAGCCAGGCACATACAGCAGCTTCAAACAACCTTGAGATATCTAAAGGTTACAGCAAACAGCAAATTTGGGGAAAAGTAAATATGAGTAGGCTGACTACAAAGTAAGTAAAATAGTAAAAGTAAGAACATGCAGGACCTGCTGACTATACAAGGACATTTATTCTATTCACTCAGGCAACCTAATCACAATTACAGTGGTACCTCAGGTTACGAATTTAATCCGTTCCGTGACTCTGGTCACAACACGATTTGTTCGCAACCCGAAGCAAATTTTCCCATAAGGTTAATGTAATTACCATTAATCCGTTCCGGCGTCTGCAGACCACGCATCAAGGGCGGAAAAATGGCTGCGGACCACGCGGTAGGGCGGAAAAACGGTTGCGGATTGCACGGCAGGGTGGAAAAACGGCTGCGGACCACGTGGCACGGGCGGAAAAATGGCCGCGGACCACGCGGCAGGGCGGAAAAACAGCTGCGGACCGCGTGGCAGGGTGGAAAATGGCCGTGGACAACGTGTCACGGCGGAAAATGGCCGCGGATCTGGTTCGTACCCCGAGGCGGAGTTCGCAAACCGAGGTAAATTTT